CCCCTCACAGTTCCTGTAGCAACTAGCAATTGCCAGATTAACAAACTGTGAAGAGGAAGAGTACATTTGGACACGCATATCTCCGCACCCCCCGCCCGCACCGACAAGATACATTGGCAAACAGAACAACTCGCTGCGCCCCAACCCCTCGCAGTCCCCATAAAGTGAGGTGTGAGATGAAGAACAATGAAATATGAAAAGGAATGCGTTGGGCCATAGGTACAGCACTTCTTTCCCCCGCGACCATCATTCCTACTTTCCACCTTCTGAGTGCAATTTTCACAGAAGCTCTTTTTCTCCACTTAAAATTAAAGCTTGTCTCGTTCATCTTGAATGAATACTAAAGCTTGCATTATGTTTTTGTCGCTGTATGTTGAAGATCATCCAGAGTACTAACAATAAAAAATGAACTATCTCTGTTTTGAATGTTGAAACAATCATCTAATCCTGTGTGTGGGAAAAAAATACTGTTCTTTGCAGGGTATAAAATCCCAGCAAGATAAGGAAGAAGTACGGAAAAGGTACAGAATATTAGATACCTTCCTCCAAAAAAATGAATATCTGGGGAAGCAAGGAAAAAGGAAAGAAAAGGTGCTGAACAAGCTAGGAATTTAGATGTTGAGGCTCTTGTTGATAATTTGATTAATTATTTTTGTAAAAACGTTTTGTGCTCATGGATTTTTGCGTAGTCATCTTCTCAGTTACAGTAGTAAAACAAAAAAAGATGGAAGAAATGAATATTGAATGATAATGTAAGTGAAGGAAATCACCTGACTTGGACACTTCTTTATACGCGCAGTTTTTAACACAATAGGTACTTCTTAGGACTAGTTTTCGTTGTCATCAGGAAATTGAACGGGTCAATACCTCAGTGTGAGAATTTTACAATTTAACTCATGTTATTAGTCATTAGTCGAAACGTCCTGCAGTTATATTGTTAGTTTTAGCATTATTTCCTACTGTTTTACTCTTTTTTTGGTACATACTTACATCAGAAAAAATAACTGCAGAATTACAGCTCATTGAACTTGAAAATCTTGTGGGATAGTAGTGATTGAAGACTTACAGAATAATTTTTCTTTTTCTTCTCAGTAACATTTTTGCTCAGTTTATTCGCTGCAGTTTGAATCTGAAATTACATTACCCAGTTGAATTTTTCATGAACAGTTTGTCATGGTTTGTCTGTGGCGTGTTTGTGAATGCACCACTTCATCATCTAATCTCAGTCGAGAAAGTCTTGCTTGATTTGGTATGCTTTTAGCATTTTCAGTGTTGAAATCTGATCTGAAGAAAACTTCCTCTAGTATATTCCTGGCACATTACAGGGTTTTATTTTTTACCTCACTTAATAAGTCTGCCAAACTTCAATAGATGCACTTTTCCTTGCCCGCATCCTTCTGTTCTTAGTCTGGTCTCTTATCCTCAAGGTAGAATAAAATTAAAGTATCAAAAATCGTGTTCCCATTAAAACATGCATGGTAAGGTAATAGCTCAAAGGTTATTCTCCAATTTTTAAGGCCACGCTATTATTGAAGGCATACTCATCAGATCATGATTCAAGTAGATAATCAGGACAAGTATAAGGATGAGAAATGCTCAGGCATACATTGTGTGGAAACGGGAGAAGACAGTGGCCAGGAAGAATGTAAACTTCTGTAAATAGTTTGTATTCATTGACATTAGAGGTCAATGCTAACAGATTGAAAGTGACACAGTAGAAGATGCTCTATATCAATCATTGATATGAAACCTTTATTTTTTTTTCAGTGTTAAAAATCCACTTCTGCTTATCCCCTATTGTTTGTCTTCTATCTCTTCTATTTTTATCGTCTTGCATTTTTACCATTTATTTGTTCTCATTTAGAATCATATCAGTGACTAAGATCTATAAATAGTATTCCATTTGAAAGTCTTAAAATCTTCGGGTGTGTTTCATCTTTTTCATCAAAGAAAATGAATGAAAAAATTGGAATTATTTTTGTAAACGTTGTTGATTGAGTGGAAAAAATTCACGAACAATTAAAAAAAAAAAAAAAAACCTTTTTTTACTTTCAAAAAGAACTATTGAGGAGCTCTCCAGAAAAAAGGCCCATAGCGATCATAGGGATCAATAGCCTTTGATAAAAACTCATTTGAAATTTCCATACATATGTCCTGGCCTCTGGAGTTATCTTACATCGGAGCTTGGACTCCAATTTCCAATGTGAGTTACGGTAAGTGGCCAGGAAGTTATTTTGGAAACTTCAAATGAATTTTTCTCAAATTCTCTTCTCTATGAACCCTCTTTCCGGAAAGCTCCTCAATTGGAGGTATTCATTTTTGGACGTAACTCACGAATTTCTTAGATTCAGGTTTTTTTTTTTACTTATTTATTTTTCATCTTTACCCAGAAGATAGGAGAGGTAAAGGGGGGGGGGGGTTGTTCGTCTCTGTATTCTCATTTTAGGAAACGTGCCTCGGCCCTTGGCCCCAGCCTCTCTTTGCCATCTAGTTAGTTGAGATGTACAGTAAGCTCCACTGTTCATGTTTTGCAGAAAAGCCTCAATCTCTTTCAGTAATCTATATACTTTTGAAGACAAAAAATCTTTAGCTGTATTCTTTTATTAATTTTAACAGCTCCTTTATAGACAAGCCCAGTATTAGAAGAGAACGGAAATTATCAAGGGAATCATGTGGCTGAATATGTAAAGTCAAGTAAAAATTTCCCGCTTTCTGTCCAGTAGCTTGATTCATATTCCTACAGTAATTAATTTCGTGGATTCATATTCCATTCAAGAAAGATATACAGGGTTATCCAAAAGTCACCTACCACCCCCGTAACTTTTTTCCTAATTGAGATAGAAGTTTGAAACTCTGGGAATGTTCCTCGGTTTAAGGTAGCAACTTTTTGGTCCCCCCAAAATTTTGGGGGGGCGGCCCCCCTTAAGAGGAGCGGGGGCTAACTTTTTTTCTTCAAATTGCAACCCCCCTTTTGTGATACCTCATTCGGAAGATAATAAAAAAAGAAATTTTTTGGCGCAAACCGCAGGTCAAAATGTTGATTTTTGACAAAATGGCGGAAATTTGGCATCTCCGTTATTTATCGGCGGATTGGTCTGAAACTCGGAACTCTTGGGTTTTTCGGAACGAGAAAAACGATTCTGGCATTAGTTTTCCGGAAATGTCAGTCCTTTTCAAAATGGCGGCGGTTAAAATGGCGGCTTAGAGCAGGAAGTGGATATTTAGGCTGCTTATCGTCGGATGTGTATGAGACTTGGTATCGGGGGGTATTTCGGCACGAGAAGAACGAATCTTTCATTGGATTTTTGGAATTTTTAAATACTTTAAAATGGCGGCAAAAATGCAAATGGCGATGGTGGATGCGGATTTTCCGTTTTTTTTTTCCGCCACCATTTTGACGATATTCAGTGTTTCAAAAATCTAATGAAAGATTAATTTTTTTCGAGCCAAAAACAACCAGAGTATTGACTTTCGTGCAAATCTATCGGTAACCAGCCTTGATATGGATTTTCCGTCATTTTTTTGCCGCCATTTTAAAGTTTTTAAAAATTTCAAAAATCCAATGAAAGATTCGTTCTTCTCGTGCCGAAATACCCCCGGATACCAAGTCTCATACAAATCCGACGATAAGCAGCCTAAATATCCACTTCCCGCTCTAAGCCGCCATTTTAACCGCCGCCATTTTGAAAAGGACTGACATTTCCGGAAAACTAATGCCAGAATCGTTTTTAGAATTCTGAGTTTCAGACCAATCCGCCGATAGAAAACGGAGATGCCAAATTTCCGCCATTTTGTCAAAAATCAACATTTTGACCTGCGGTTTGCGCCAGAAAATGTCTTTTTTCATTATCTTTCGAATGAGGTATCACAAAAGGGGGGTTGCCATTTGGAAAAGAAAAGTTAGCCCCCGCTCCTCTTAAGGGGGGCCGCCCCCCCAAAATTTTAGGGGGACCAAAAAGTTACTACCTTAAACCGAGGAACATTCCCAAAGTTTCTAACTTCTATCTCAATTAGGAAAAAAGTTACAGGGGTGGTAGGTGACTTTTGGACAACCCTGTATCTTAATCTTAAAATATAAATATTTTAAGATTTATTTACGAAGAATTTCTGGAAATCCATTCCCCACAACCCCCCCCCCCCCCTTCCTTTGAAGCATAATCCAGAACTAAATTATTGGAAGAGAGAGTACGTTGATTGCATAGAAACAGTGGATAGTTTGCTCCAAGTTGTTTTCATTTTTATTCGGTGTTGGTTGAAATATTGAAGGGATGTACTGTATATCATGAATTTTTCTATGTATTGTTTGATTGTCCAGTGCACAGCAAACATCTGAGAATTCCAACAAAGCTGGTCGCAAGCTTGGTAATCAGGTGATCCGTAAAGGCTGGATGTGCATCCACAACCTAGGTATAATGAAGGGAGGCTCAAGAGACTATTGGTTTGTTCTCACCTCTGAAAATATCTCCTGGTTCAAAGATGAAGAGGTTTGTCATTTATTTTTAGTCTTGTTGCCTCAATCAATGTCTCTAGTGTGTAAGTTTTTGAAACCCTAGTTGCCTCAACAATCGCACCATTTTTTGGGTACCTCCTTGTTCAGTTTACTGAAATCTTATTTATTCCCAAATTAATTGAATCGTTCATTTAAGATTTGGCCGAACTAAGAAATCTTGTACATTTTTAAATTTTTGTAGAGAAGACTCCAACAAAAAAAGTGAAACATTCAACCATTTTTACATCTTTATCAGAAGTCCTCTGAAAACACTTTGAGACGGAATGCATAGATCCTTTAGTTCATTATCTACTCAGAGTGTCATTTGAGAGAAGATTAAACCTTTTTTTTTTTTCTGTAACAACTTGATGTGACTTGGCTCCAATTCATTGAATTCAGTGTAGTGTCCTAATTTTTAAGATGATAAAACTCAGAAATAAAGTTACTCAGTATTGAAATCAATTCTAATTAGGCTTTGATCACATCATAGCCTTTCCTATGTTTAGTTTCAAAATTTACTTTTTTCTGTTCTTTAATTGAGGTGTTTTAAAAGTCATTTCATTAATTAAGTTGAGTTTTTTTAAATTATTTTATTTAGTTTATCAAAAATTTCTGTCTGTTCATTTTTACCTCAAAATTCTTATAAACCACCGAATTTTTTGCATTCTAGGAGCGGGAGAAAAAATACATGTTACCTCTAGATGGATTAAAATTGCGTGATGTGGAACAAGGTTTTATGTCTCGAAGGCACACTTTTGCGCTTTTCAATCCTGAGGGACGAAATGTTTACAAGGTTTGTTGAGCTTAAAAAATGTCAAGCTTATTGGTAGAATTCCATTGAAGACAATTATCACACATCGTGAAGAGTTTGAAATTAAACGGGAAAAGGGACTTTACTCCACAAAGGTAAAATTTGCAGTTCAACGATTTTTGTCAAAATCTGATTCCAAGACTGAAAAGAAACCCTCCACTACTGTCCTACAGAATAAGTTACAAGTTCAGCTTCATTGTTTGCGAATTTAAGTTATAAATTTCTGTCTCAACCTACCAATTTCATTCCGGGAACTCGAAAAGTGTTAGAATTTTTAAACAATTTTTTTTAACCAGGTTTTTAAGTGCGAACTCCTAACCATCACGACGCCCGTTTGTTCAAAATTGTTTAGCTTTTTTTGTTTAAAAATTATTGTAGAACACTTCTCTATTCTCCAGTATTAATAGCTCAATTTCGAGTTTCTGTTAAATAAGGTTCTTTTTCCTCTTGAGTGGTTACGAATCCCTTATTTTCATCCAAGTCCACGAATTGACAAAATTGGCCTAGAGAATTTTACTGCGAAGAGTGCTCTCTCCTGAGAATACGTCCACTAAAGTAAAAGAATTCGCAGATTAACACATTGACAGCAGATGAATGATATTTGACACTGCCCATGATAGCACAGTTTTGCAGGTGTGTGCCCATAAGTCTCTTTAAGCCCTGCGTCAGCACAATCAATCCAGTGATCGGTGCCCGGCAAAAATAATTTTCTGTCAGTGTCATCAGTCTCTAGCTTTAGCTGGGAAACATTGAGTTCACAGCGCTGATGGATTGCAAAATGGGCTCACACTAAAAATATTGGTCTTATGTGCACAAAATTGAGCGGCAAAAGTCCTGAACATTAGGATTTTGGCAGTCAATGTGTTTAACTACCCTTAATGCCATTCTGGTAATTACCTGTCACCATCGGCAACAATAATTGGGCAGCCTCGGCTAAGAGAGGTATTATTACACTGTCCGTTCTTGTAAAGAAATTAAACACCAGAATCCAAGAAATTTTGTAGTTAACCTCATTCATAAAGAGCCTCGCCAAAAAGTGGTGTTTTTTAGCCCCTTTTTTTATACCCGAGTTGGTCAACCGGACAGTGCTCAAATGAAAGCCTATGGTAAGGCAAACTTCCATGCAAATTTTTAACTTGAAGTGACCCCTCGTTTAGGCTGTACAGCGTTGCCAATTTCCCAGTTTCATGTGCTAAAATCAAGGATATTGGACTATTAGTCCGGTGCATAAGTAGACTAGTACACTCGAGTTGGTCAACGGGACGTGGCTCAAACGAAAGCTTATGGTAAGGCAAACTTCCAGGAAAAGTTTCAACTTGAAGTAAAACCTCGTTTAGGCTGTACAGCGTCGCCAATTTTTCATTTTTATGCGCTATACTCACGAAATACTGAATCATCATGGTTCAACAGGCTAGTACACCCAAGTTGGTCAACGGGACAAGGCTCAAACGAAAGCTTATGTTAAGGCAAACTTCCAGGAAAAGCTTCAACTTGAAGGGAAACCTCGTTACGGCTGTACAGCGTTGCCAATTTTTCATTTTTATGCGCTTAAATCAAGGAATACTGGATCATTATGGTTCAACAGGCTAGTATATCCGAATTGGTCAACGGGACAGGGCTCAAACGAAAGCTTATGGTAAGGCAAACTTCCAGGAAAAGTTTCAACTTGAAGTGAAACCTCGTTTAGGCTGTGCAGCGTTGCCAATTTTCCATTTTTATGTGCTTAAATCAAGGAATTCGGGACTAATAGTCCAGTGCATCATAATTAAACAGACTGGCCTTGTACTGTTGACCAATTCGGGTAGGTATACTAGTCTGTTGAACCATGATGAATCCAGTATTCCGTGAGTCTAGCGCATAAAAATGGAAAATTGGCAACGCTGTACAGCCTAAACGAGGTTTCACTTCAAGTTGAAACTTTTCCTGGAAGTTTGCCTTACCATAAGCTTTCGTTTGACCCTTGTCCCGTTGACCAATTCGGATATACTAGTCTGTTGAACTATGATGAATCCAGTATTCCTTGAGTCTAGCGCATAAAAATGGGAAATTGGCAACGCTGTGTAGCCTGAACGAGGTTTCACTTCAAGTTGAAACTTTTCCTGGAAGTTTGCCTTACCATAAGCTTTCGTTTGAGCCTTGTCCCGTTGACCAATTCGGGTATACTAGTCTGTTGAACCATGATGAATCCAGTATTCCTTGAGTCTAGCGCATAAAAATGGGAAATTGGCAACGCTGTACAGCCTAAACGAGGGGTCACTTCAAGTTGAAACTTTGCATGGAAGTTTGCCTTACCATAAGCTTTCGTTTGAGCCTTGTCCCGTTGACCAACTCGGGTGTACTAGTCTACTTATGCACCGGACTAATAGTCCAACATCCTTGATTTTAGCACATGAAACTGGGAAATCGGCAACGCTGTACAGCCTAAACGAGGGGTCACTTCAAGTTGAAACTTTGCATGGAAGTTTGCCTTACCATAGGCTTTCATTTGAGCACTGTCCGGTTGACCAACTCGGGTATATAAAAAAGGGGCTAAACTTGGCGAGGCTCTTTACTCTCTGTATCCAAATAATGTAGTCCTCATCATGACAGAAATTCTTCAGATCTCCAACAGGGTGTCTACTGAGGTCCACACACACAAGTACTTCTCCTTTGGGAAAAATTAGGTATTTTTTAAGTACATTTTCGCGACGTATTGCAATTCTTCGATAGCAGTCACATTTCTTAATTTGAGTTACTATGAATGATATCAACTAAAATTTGAATTTGACTCTCGTATGAAATTTTTTGACAAAAAGGTACAAAATATCGACTTCTGAAATATGTTCAATTATACGATAAGTACAGGCGTTAAAGAAAAAGAAACAACTTTTCTGAAATTATCTTAATATGTACTTCATACTCAGTGACAAATTATGTTTTTTTCAGGACTACAAACAATTAGAATTGAGCTGTGAAACACAGGATGATGTTGACTCTTGGAAAGCCTCATTTCTACGTGCTGGCGTATATCCAGAAAAGCAAACTGATACACAAAATGGAGAGGAGGTAAGATTTCCGTTATCTGATCTGTAGTTTCATTACTTGTCTAAAATTTGTCCCAGTACCCTTACGGATTTTCATTCTTTTTCCCCTCATTCTTTGTCTACATGTGTACATACCATTTTATTGTGGATTCAGAACTGAAAGGGGAGAGATTAAGAGGAATAATTGTTTGGTTTGTGGAGTAACTATTCTTCCACTTCAAATTAAATTATTTGCGACAGGTCCATTTTTGTTTCCAGTAGAAATTCGGATTCATATTTTAATTTTCTCTTTTTTTCTCTCTCTGTCTGCAAGTATAGAAATTAAAACTTTTTATCCAGTGATTGAATGATTTCTGCGATGTGAAAGCCGTGGGTAAAATGTTTCAGCCATTGACTTTTCTTTAGGTATTATTAGCAGAATTATTATCCTTATCCGTTGTAGAGAAATTATCTTTTGTACGAATTATCATCTTACTTATTTTAATTCTTTGGAAGTGGCATAATATGCCAATATAAGCTGCACAGACAAAAATTGGTCAATTCTCTCCCCTTTTCAGTGTATTTTTTGTGCTAGTTGTTGGGAGCACTCTTAAAACCTGCTTCGGAACCCCTTCTCAAAGAGTCAAGCCTTAATAATTCCAATTAAATCAATCAATTGTCCAGCACACTCGTGCATTTGTGGTATCACTCATTAATTAAATGGAAGAAATTATCAAGTGAATAATGTATCATTTCTTTAATATCATTGGAAGCTTTTAAAAGCCTCAAGAGTGACCTGAAAAGGATCTTATTGCTACCCTATTTTCCAAATTTCACCTTAAATGGCTCCCAGCCATAATCTAAGCATTTTCTAGTTGCCACCAAGCTGATGAGAGGTCATTTTTTTATTTAAAATACAGAGAGTTTCTCAAAATCATTTTTGAAGGGAAAGAAACTTGCCCGTCAAGAGTGTTATCAGACAGTTCCGCTTATATTCGTTTTTAGTGGTTTTATTCAATGGGTTTTACCCATGCCACTCAAGTATTTTGTCCCTTTTCATCCACTTTGTTTTTTCAAGTCCAGTCTCTATGTCATTGAAGTCTTCACCACCCTCCCCCCCATCTTGGGTATTGTTGCTTTGACACCTAACTAATTGTATTGGTTGCTTTGTGTGTATATGGTACTCAAATGGAACTAAAATTTCTTTTACCTAAAAATCAATCTGATTCTTTGTAGCAGAATTTACAAAATAACGTTAAAATTTGATGTGTTCCCATATCTTAGTGGTCACTAGGTAAGGCCAAAGAACAGCATTTTTTAGGAATCTAAATTCGATAGTGCACAAAGGTTGCGTATCGATAAAACTGTGAATCAAAGTCAGCGAACATTGTCAAGCAATGTGTGGAGGTAGTAGCACTATATATATATGGGTTTGTGTTGGTAGCCGAGTGCTAGGAATAATGCAAAAAAATGTTTTCAAAAAAACACTTACATTTTATTAATAAAGTACCGAAGCTTTTCGAGGCGGACGCCTCATCGTCAGGGTAACAACAAAATTAATATCACAAAGGCCGTTGCCATACTTTAAAATTTCAAAACTAGGTAACAAGGGTAACAAAACTGTGAAGCCAACTAAACGGTTTTTTCTAAAGAAAATTTTAAGGTTGCGCCCTTCTGGTTTTGGGGAACCTTACTTTTCTCTTCAGAGTAGAATCAAATAAGATTTGCTCTTGGAGCCATCGTTTTTTAAAAAAGTGACTTTAGTTATTTTAAAACTTCAGCATGTTTTCTAAAGTCCTCATACTCTTGGAAAGTCGATTTTAATAGTGGTCAATCTTCGTTTTCAGCAGAAATTTTTTTTTGGCCTCTTTTATCACTGGAAGTTAAATTTTTTGTCCGTACCGTAGACCAACTAAACAGGCTTGTTTTCCTATCAATACGTGCGATAATAATACCGTTTTAAGTTTTTTTGCACTCATAGAGCTATATTCTTGTAGAAGAATAAAACAAAATATCCTTCAAAGTTTTTACTTTCAAAATTTAGCCCCCAAATTGCTCTAAAGTCCGATTTCTAGAATTTTGCGCCATCATTTTTCTCCTAAAAAAGCCAGGAAATGTAATTAAACGCTTAATTTTAATTAATTTCTTTAGAACTAACTTAGAAGATGTGGTAGACAACTTTTTTAAAGAATTTCTACAGGTTTGCTCTTTTTAAAGCTACAAATTGTACAATTTTTTACTGGTCTACGGTACAGGACCATAACGTTACGGTACGGACAAACGGGCTACGGTAAGGACAAAGAGGCATTCGTAAATATTACTGTATGCAAGGGCCGAATTATAAAGAACTGAAATTCATTGGGGAATAAACTGCTAAGTTATAGCATAGCTTATAAATGCCACTTTTATAAATTATTACAGGCAATAAAGGTAAAAAGAGTAAGTAAATCAGTTTTTCAAAAATAATGAACTGCTTTTATTTGAAAGTAAACGCATTAAATAATTAGGGACAAATCTTAGAAGCTGAGTTCTTAAAACAAGCTTGACAACGTTAGAACGTTTTAGGTGCACTTTTACAAAAAAAGAAAGAAAACAAAAAGGTAACTTTATCGAAAATGTGGTCACAAATCACCTTAAATAAATATTCAAAGGACGATAAGAAAAAAGTAAGTTAGATATTAACGAGTAAATATTAAACGAATAAATTGCTATGAACTTCAGACGAAAAAGAGGACTCAAAGTTCTAAAAGAAAAAATGAAAAAAATAAAAAGATGGCGATCCTTATGCAATCATCGAAAAAAAGCCTCCTTCTTCTAAGTCGCGTCGCACTAAAAAAAAATATGTCTCTCTTTTTTTTTTAAATTCCAAATTTTGGTGATAGATAAAATAAAGTAAAGTGGGATGATCTAACAAACAGCGCACCGATTTTTGGATGACTTTCGCATTTTGCCCGTACTTACCGTAGACCCGGCCGCATCGCGCGTCAGCTACGGGCTACGGTACCGGACGGCTACGGGCTACGGTACCGGACGGCTACGGGCTACGGTACCGGACGGCTACGGGCTACGGTACCGGACGGCTACGGGCTACGGTACGGACGGCTACTGTGCGGACAAATCGTGTGATTATTTGCAACGGTGCTCGGGCATATTCACGCAAGTGGTTGAAATTCTGGATTTGAGGTTAAGATATCAGAGCGTATCAAAAAATACCAAAATTCGAGAGTTTGAAGTGATTTATGCATTAAAAAGGTAGGTACACGATAAGGACATCCTAGATGGTCGTTAAACCTAGAAACTCATAAAAAACGGTCAAAATTTACTGTTTCATTGCGGTTTTTTTTTCCTCTGCTCGACATCAACGTGTGATAGTCACGATAACGCAATAAAAGTAAACAAAGTTCATAAGTGCTGCTTTCTGACGGACGGAATGATGCTGAAAAAAGGGGGCTACGGCACAGGACGCGAATTCCGCAGACAAGGCTGCTTGATGCAAAGACGGTCAATATTTTCACTTATTTGGATGAATATAACTGAAAATAATAAGTTAGGTACAAGTTGAGTGTAAATTTACAGCAGAAGTGGAAGTATCTAGATGCAAGATGATGGTTATGAAGCATTAAAGTTACGCACTTGAGTCGCAGACAGGCTACGGTACAGGACATTTCAGCTGTTTAGGGCCAAAATTCTGATATTAAATGGAAAAACTGCCTAAAACGATGTTGGGATCTGATTAAGCGTAAAATTTTGAATAAATTTAAAAAGAAAAAAGGTCAGATTTTTCCATTTTGAAGGGCTAAATAGTCGGGAGACATGGTAGAGCAAAACTTATTTGATATTACTCTTCAAGCATTTTTTGCCGGTTAGACTTTACTTTTCTAGCATGATAAAAATTGGTCAGAGCCTTCATTTTTGGAGGCTGAACTCACATTTTGTTGTACTTAAAGGCTTGCTTTTTTAAATTATAATTATTTGGGGGGAAGGGATTTTGTCAAAATTAGCCATCACATACTCATACAAGGACACTAATCAAATAATCCCATAATATGTGTAGAAGTTCTCAACAGGGCTCATCCATTCTTACCAGTGCTAGTAACAAAAAAGGAAAAAGAAATCTCCCTTGATTGAAAGAACTGACCTCACAAAACAGTACCCACTAAGAAGAGTCTTCTTCCTATCTCTTTCCTGTCCTTGCTTCTAAGCCAAATATCTCTGTTAAAATTGAATTTTTCAGAACTCCTCCTCCAATGGTTCCTTTTCCTCTAGTCCCACATCCCAGCCCTTACGTATTCCTTCAGCAAGCACTACAGAAGTTTGGAAAACTTGGTATCCCGCTCGTGTATGTATGATGATAATGCCAATTTTTCTAAGGCTTTACAACAGAAATCGTCTCGTTCAGATTTCTGTGTCTTTGAATTTTCACTCAAACAATTTCTTTCTTTCTTCTTCATAATTTTAGTTAAATAAAGAGTTTACTTGTGTGAATTCCAACCATCAGCATTGAAAGTATCATTGTTAAGTGCAAGTAGACCGTCACTTGTCTGATATTTTTACCGCTATCTCTGTGTACTTGTAAATTGTGTTGCTTGCAGCTTCTATTCTACATAATTTTGAAAAGTTTTTCCTTACAACAGCCTCAGACTTGTTGGAAAGATAATTTACCACGAGGACTGTCATACTACCTGATGGCTCACCTCAGTTAGATTGAAGATTGAAGATTAACTATTGTCAAAAAATTGTGGGAAGGTACTTAGGTTTGAAAAAAAAAAAAAGTTCCATTTCTTTTCATTCATCAGCCAGTTACTAATTTTGATAGGAGAAAACGAATGGAATAAAATTGTGAGAGAATCGATCTATCCTACCAGAGCTATGTTTCTTTATAATGCCTGCTTGATTTTTCTGTAGCTAAACTAATCAATGCTATTTTTTTTTCTGTGTTATTCTTGCTTCTGTCAGGCTGGTTATGAGGTACCTATCTTAGCAATTTTTCTTGTATTTTTTACTGTTCAACAAGGTCTCTTGACTGCAAATTAAAGTTGAAACATTTTTTACCCAAACAAAAAATTAACGATGAAATTAAGGTGAATCCAGGCTTCAAACTTCGCGATTTGGCCACCAAATCACACTGCTCAGAATAGCCGTATATATTTGCCAAAATAATAAAAACCGTAATACTTATTCAAGATACGGGATCCAGGGGACATAGCAACATACCTGAGCGACACTCAGTAAAAAAATATTCTCAAAATTCCCGGAAATAAAGTCGTAACTACGGCGGAACGTAATACCCATTGCGGCAATGGGAGAGAGAGAGAAAGAACATGAGGGATTCGGTTGCATGCTTGGCTGCTGCCGCTGAGCTGAACGTTTCAGCCGCACTTTCTCTTTGCTTGTAATTCTAACTGTCAATATTTCTGGCTCAAAAAATCAAGCAAAAAACAATCTATATCTTGTGGATCTGCTTTTTGTAATTTGAACAATATTATTTCAGTAATCGTCGAAGGAAAGTGAAATTCTCAGTGGTGACTGGTGGCAATATTTCTAATCTTGAATTATCCCTAATCGAACCATGGATTCACCTTAAAAATTTAACAGATTTAAGTAAGAATTAGTAAGAAAGAACATGTTCAATCTTATTTGCTTTAATGATAGTTTTCCTACTTATATCTCTTTATAAAATTGTATAGGTGTCTTGAACATCATACCATAAAGTGTTGTGCAGTTTAATCATCATTTCTTTCCTTTTTTGTTGACTTTGTCTACCTTTTATAATTTGTTGGCTATTATCATAATGAAGACAGCTACTGGGAGATTGTAACATGATTGATTTTGTGTCAATATTTTGGCGTATGATGCTGATGGAGTGCTGGTCTTAGCTTTTCAACTAAATTTGGTTTTGGTCAAAAAACACTTGACAACAATGAGTCAGTTAAGCTCGGGAGGGATTTGCTTGCTATTAGTCGAATCTTACAGTTTTCGGTACGAGAAGAACGATGCGCACGTTAAAATTTCACGAAAAATTGCCTCCGCGGAGATATAACGCTTCCTTTTTAGGGGTCCTCGAAAACGTGTTTGAACCAACCGCCGTGAATCGTCGTATCTACGCGTCACAGAACGGGAAGATGGCGGCGCAAAAGCCGACCTGCTTACTACCGCCACGCCGCCGTTGTTGACATCACGATTTCTCGTTTGAGGTTAAGTAAGTACTGTGAGAATGTTCCATATCCTACATACATCTGTATCGCATACTGATTGAAAACCTTAGAGAATTAAGAACAATGAATATGAATCTCAAACAAAGTACCCTACATAACCTCAAATTGTCTTCTTCTTCTGATGTTCTATTGGCTTATATTCCAAACGTGGAACCAAAGACATAAAGACGGAGGGCTAAAAGCAAAAAATGAAGCTTCTTTTCAACCATCTCGACTATTGGCTAGAGGATTGGCGGCGAAATCGAGACAAGTTTGAAATTCAAATGTAGGGCGGGAACTAAATAAAATTGCGGAAACAAAGTATTCTAGGTTGATTTTTGCCCAAATTCACTTACCCACTCATATTTCTTTAACTTTAGGTTAGCTTTGGTCCGTCGTCGACCGATTAATTTCATTTGGGAGTAACGGTTATCTAGAACTGTAACGACCTGTTTGAACCTGCAGAACCACCATGGGCAGAAGAAAAACTAACTTTATCTGAGATTACTGCCTATTACCAAACAAAAGTAGGTGTATTATAATAGGACGCAGTCCCAACTTTCTTAATATATTCGTTTTAGGCATTTAAAATACGTTTCGAAGAAGAAATGTGGAAAAATCAAGAGGACAAGTTCAAATCAAATTTCCGTTTGCCGCCATGGATTCCCGCGCTCTTTACACACTCACACAAGCACTCAGCGCCAAACCAGGCTTCACTTTCTCCCCGTGCTTTTAGGTACAAGCACTCCGTCTTTATGTCTTTGCGTGGAACCTACAGCCATCTATAGACAAAATTTCATACTAACCTCAAATTGACCAACGTAAACACACCGCCAACATGACGCCGCCGTGTATTCTTCCACTACGCATTCCGCCGCCATATTGATCGTGACGTATACATACAAAACCTAGGAGCGCGAGGTTCAAACGCCGTTATAGACCACCCTAATTTTTGGCACCTTCAAATAAACTTTTCTCCCGTTTGCAGTCATCAAAAAAAAATTAGGAAAAAAACTGTAAGCTTCGGTCACTTACTACTTTCGACTGACACAATAAAAAAAAATGACTTAACTGACTCATTTTTCTGTTAAGGAGACCAAATTGTCTTACCTGCAGATCTAATGAAGTTGCTTGCTTTGTTTTTTGAGCAGGGTGCAGGCGAAGGACAGTCGTCGATGGATCCTCAGTTAGAAAGACAAGTAGAAACTATCAGGAACCTAGTAGATTCATACATGAAAATTGTGACAAAAACCACTAGAGATTTAGTACCGAAAGCCATAATGCTGCTTATTATTAATAACGCCAAAGAATTTATCAACGGTGAATTGTTAGCTCATTTATACGCTGCAGAAGATCAGGTACCATCTCATGCTTTTCCAAATCTTGGGTCTTGCTTTGTTTTTAGAACGTACTTATGTTTTTCTTTAAAAACGAAAATAGAATCATTTTTACACCATCTTTTTCTAGTTAAAGGGCAAACGCTAAGAAAATTAATGCAAATTTTCATCCATGCTTTATATTTTGATCTCTGTCATATACATCGTCAGGAAAAATCAACACATACATAATCAAATTGAAATATGACCCAAATCAATCAGAGTCTCAATCAAGTTTATAGAAATTCATCTGGATTAGTCTGGCCTCATTGAGATAGATTTTCATGGATGTATTTTCCCCCGTCCAATCCAAACTAAATAAGAACCAAGCTTGATACAGATGGTCTAGATCACCCTGTATATTCTAGCGCATCTATATTTATTTGTCTTGATGCAGTCATTTTGATCGTTTTGCCGTTGACGGTCTCTGATTTCATTGTTGATAGTCGTCTTTTCATGTTCGTATCCCCCATTGTCTCATGGCTTGTTCCATTATTAATTGACACCTTGATTTTTGGGGGTATCTAGGCATCCATGATGGAAGAAAGCCCTGCAGAAGCTGCAAAACGAGAAGAAATGTTACGCATGTACCATGCTGTCAAGGAAGCTCTCCGCATTATTGGCGATGTCTCCATGGCAACAGTTTCAACTCCAGTACCTCCTCCTGTCAAGAACGATTGGCTCAGTTCAAGTTTAGATAACAATCCAAGGTGCCTATTTTATCTGTATATTTTGTCGGAAGTAATGTAACTTTTCTTTTTCCTAACCACTCTTTTACAATGTCAGAAACGCAAATGAAGTTGTGACATGACTTTAGAGTGGCCTTGACATTATGAAAGTCTCAATTTCAGCAAAAGAAGTTGCTTAGCCATAAAACAATTTTTAAGGTTGCTCCAGGAAAAAATAAAATGGAATGCTACTCATTGACCTCATGCCTCCATTGTCGTCAGTTGCGCTCATGCGAAGCTTCAACCATCATTAATCTCGTGTAAACCAACCAATATAACAGCTTCCATACAGCTAGCTCTTAGAAAAATATTCCCGTTTTTGTAATTTTCTATCATTAATTATTGATACATAAACACTACATTAAATGAACAAGCGTAAAAAGTCATACACCCAGAAAACTGCATCATGAAAGCAGTGCATGACTGGAAACAGCAAAGTGTTCCAGATCTTAAACCGTAGTCGTGGGAATATAGAATTGTTCAATCAGTCAATTTTATTGGCAATGTTGGCATGATAATTTTTGTTTGTAGTAGTTGGATTTTCAATTCCTTTCAAAGTTGTTATACTTCCTGAAGTATGATTATATGAAAAATGATACAACTTTCTATGCATTATTTTGTCAATACTTTCCGAAAAAAAATTAAAAAAGATTTGTGCATTATTCTTTGATCGCATTTTTTTAACTGGTGGTACCAACTGCTGATTTGAATACTCACTAGGTTTTGAGTCTTCAAAATTTCATCTAAGAGGCATATTTTAGCACTTTTTGTTTTAAGCATACTTATCAGGTAAATGATTATAATTGGTGTGTAACTTTGGTAGGTTATCACCTCCGAGTCCGGGAGGCCCTCGTAGAGGTGCTCCGCCACCTGCCTCGACTGGCTCAAGGGCGCCCCCTCTTCCCCCAACCTCTGGGAGACCAGCACCAGCTGTTCCTAACCGTCCTGGTGGCGAACCTGCACGAGGTCAACCCCCACCTCCTGGAAGACCAGGCGGTCAAGGACTTCCCCCACCTCTCATACCATCGTAAGTAACCTTATATCCTCTCAGTTTTCCATCTTCATCTTCATCTTTTTCTGCTGCTAAATATGGATCCCCCTCATGCAAGATAGTCCAGTCAATCTGGCCCAAAAAAGGGGTCTATTTTGCGAAAATCGGAGGAGAAATAAGTTAGACGGATTCCCATGTAATTTTGGTTGCTGAATCCGAATCTGATGTTTGCCAACAAAAATTTTGCCCGGAAATGGCCGCCATCTTGAAAAAATGGCGGAAGATTACGTTTTTCCCCCAAAAACTCACTTATTTTGAGGTTTTCGACAAAATGAGTTATCTTCATTGTAAAAGTGCGTAAAATTTCCTATCAAACGGTTTTTAGATTTTTGAAATCGAACAATTAGGGTAAAAGTTATGCACAGTTGGTCTGAACAAGTTAAAATTTTTTGACGAGTCACAAGCAAAAACTCTTCAGGTTCTTGAAGTAGAGTGTCTACCGTTGGGATAAAGGGATATTTGGAATGAGAACAATTCACTTGCAGTGCACGTTCATTTTAATAAGGGTGCACCAGAGGTCATGAAAAATCTAAAAAAAAGCTCAGCTGATATTATACGTATTAATTTTTGCTCTCACGGCATAGCCATATTTCAACTCGCCTCCTCAAAAATTAATTCCATTATGAATAGATGCTAACTGGGAACAACATACAGGTCCAACATTTGTTGCAACGGATGAGGAAAACCCAGAAAAACCTCATCAGACCTTATTCAAGAAGAAACATCTCAAATAGAATTTTCTCAACGAATTTTGACTTGAACTTCAAATTTTGATCTCGCTGAAGTCTGAGTCCCGGTCTCACAATCAGTTTCTTTAATTTGCAAACAGGCACAGGTTTTGTTAACAAATCATCCAGTTAACCTGTAGGAAAAAATATTTTGCATCTATTACTCTTTTAACAATCTGCTCCCTATAATATGATATTTATCATCAATGTGTTTTGATCTTTCGTGGCTTTTTTAATTCTTTGCAATACTATTGCAATCTTAGCGATCCGTCTCTCACTTCAAAATTATTTCAGTATTTCCATTTTAACTTCGCCATGTCGATGGCATTACTGTGCTTATGATAGTTTTTAAGTTAAGTGCTCAGAAGTCAAGATCATCATAGAGTTTCCCTCTATTTTACTTTCACATTCTCTTCTGTTTCAAGCACGCATCACGTCTAGAGTTTGAGTAAGTTTTGTGGACTGTACACCAATCATTTGCTTTTGAGTCGCTCAGAAGACCTTTAATTTCCTTAACTCGGTTCCTTTTCCAGAGTTAACTAAAGTATCAAGTTTAAGAACAATTCTGATTTTATTACCAGATTTATCGGTTTCCTATTCACTATAATTTTCAGATTCATTAGTTTCCTATGACTAACTTTCCGTCACTCGAAATTTTACTACGAATCTCGATATTATGTAATGTATCTTGCTGATTACATGACTCACACAAAATTTCATGTTTCACTTTCCACGCTTTATGTCTGATCAAAAATCATCTTGGATTATAATCGGTGAGCTAAACACACCCATTGAGATTCCATCCTCTATTCATCCATCTCCACATGGGTCTCGACAACACCCTGTTTTCTTCACTAGAGAGCTAGACATCCATTCTCTGAGCTTTTACTTATCTCAGTTGACGCTCGTGGTTCCTTATGAAGTTCTGATTTTGACTCACAGTCAGATGCATCAGTTTTTCTTGAAATTAAAATTTTGCAAACTAAAGTGCATTTTAAAAGGAGGTCTAGTTTGTCATGATTTCCATCTTTAAATCGTCAAGGATAGGCAAATTTCACTATTTTTGCAACTCACATAAATTATCATTTCGTGGGATACGTTTTAAATGAGGCCAATACGCGCACACATTCAACGATCTTTCAACTCGATAGTAAATTTTATTATCTCACTCTGTGTATGGCTCTCACTCTCAAACCTTTTCCTTGTCGGAATAATAACCAGTAATTTCTCATCAATATTATAATTCTGAAAAGGCTCACCACAAAAGACAACGATACTTCCCCTAAAAAATGTCGTCTTCTATTTTGATGAGAATATCTTTCATTATCAGCTTTCCAAATTTTGGTATTGATAACCAATTTTATGGTAATTCAGGGCAGAACCAAACGTCTTCCAAAAAATAGTTTTGAGACCAGACTCCATGACGCATGTTTATCCAGCCATTTAAGTCTTCTCAGTTGTTGCCGTCATTCTCCATCTTATATTTTTGCATCCACTATCTGGGATCAGCAAACTCAAAAAAAAAAGGTCGCACATCTAATTTTCTGTTACTAATATTACTGGAATGCTCTTCAATCCCAGCACAAGTTGAACTTTTCACTTTCTGTATCGCCAAGCAACGACTGTTTTCTCAATCGCTTATTGCAGGAATTCATGTGGCAATGATTTACCTTTCAATCATCTAAACATTCACATCCTTCACATTTTCTTGATTAACAGAATTTCTGAATTCTAACCTTCCAGACACTGCGTTTTTCCCGTCAAAGGCCTGCATAATATTTTACGGATTTTAGGTACATTTTAAGAGTACGGGCGAAATGCTTTACACTAGTAAGTATTATAAGAATATACTGGGCCCATAACCCGTTGGGATAAAGGGATATTTGGAATGAGAACAATTCACTTGCACATTCATTTTAATAAGGGTGCACCAGAGGTTATGAAAAATCTAAAAAAAAGCTCAGCTGATATTATACGTATTAATTTTTGCACTCACGGCATTGCCATATTTCAACTTTACTGAGTCATTTAAGCCAAAAAGAAAAAAATTCTGTCGAGCTCCTCGAAAGTAAAGTCGATTTAAAGTTATTTTCGGGCTAAAATAGCCAAATTACCTATATTATGCCCATATAATGCCTGTCATATCATTTAAAAAAAATTTTCTTCCTGGATATAATGCCCAAGTTTCTTAAACATGCATATTTTAAGCCTCTGAATACTTAAACTACCATTTTTAACCATATGGTGAATTTTGGGGGCCTAAAATGAGCCCTCTGAGCCAAAAATTGCATACATTTTCGAAAACTTCGGATTTTCATGGGGATTTTTTTTTTTATGGTTGTTTTTTCTCGGTCGTCAATGTAATTCTGAAGGGCATTTCCGATTACATAATTGACATTTTGACTGTTCAGGTGAAGGGGGAGGAGGGCATCAGGCTTTGCTTTGCCTTTCTCACAGTTTCTAGAAACGCTTGAAAATTTCCTATTACATTGGAAGTCCAAAATATCCCTTTTTAATTCATTAATTGCTGCTTCTGATATTATAAAATATGCCGCAGGAGTACTGCCCACTCCCCTCCTCTTACCCACGAGATGCATATAAACCTTGATCTTACTGCGCGCGCTACCGGATCCTTGCTTTTCGCGTGATGGCAGTCCGTTGTATAGTAGACCGGGGCATTTGTAGCCTAAACATGTCCATTTACATGTAATGCTAAAGACCGCCGCATGTTTTATTGCAAATGCCCGGGTCTACTATACAACGGACTGCCATCACGCGAAAAGCAAGGATCTGGTGGTAGTAGTAGGATCAAGGTTTACATGCATCTCGTAGGGAGGAGGAGGGGGGTGGGCAGTAACTCCTGCTGCATATTTTATAATATCAGAAGCAGCAATTATTGAATTAAAAAGGGATATTTTGGACTTCCAATGTAATAGGGAATTTTCAAGCGTTTCTACAAACTGTGAGAAAGGCAAAGCAAAGCCTGATGCCCTCCTCCCCCTTCACCTGAACAGTCAAAATGTCAATTATGTAATCGGAAATGCCTTTCAGAATTACATTGACGACTGTAGAAAAAACAACCATAAAAAAAAATAAAATCCCCATGAAAATCCGAAGTTTTCGAAAATGTATGCAAATTTTGGCTCAGAGGGCTCATTTTAGGCCCCCAAAATTCACCATGTGGTTAAAATTGGTAGTTTAAGTATTCGGAGGCTTCAAATATGCATGTTTAAGAAACTTGGGCATTATATCCAGGAGGAAAATTTTTTTTAAATGATATGACAGGCATTATATCGGCATAATATGGGTAATTTGGCTATTTTAGCCCGAAAATACCTTTAAATTGACTTTATTTTCCAGGAGCTCGACAGAATTTTTTTCTTTTTGGCTTAAATGACTCAGTAGACACTCTACTTCAAGAACCTGAAGAGTTTTTGCTTGTGACTCGTCAAAAAATTTAAACTTGTTCAGACCAACTGATTATGGGCGATCGCGTTAGGGGTGGTTTTACGGGTGGATGAGTTTTTCGTAAAATTTGCTGCGTAAAAGCGCTGTAACGCCGTGGAAGTGAAACAAAAATTCCAAAAATGGTTTGCATGTGTCCCCCTTGGTACCAGTGACCCTCCGCCATGAAAAAATCCCCCACCCCCGCCCCTCCCCGCGCCCCTCATTCAATGTGCACTTTTTTCAATTAAATCACACTAATTACAGATGTCGAAAATGTATGCAAAACCCTCATGGATCACTTGGTTTTCCAACTCTCATCACCCCCCTTAACCCCGTTATGACCCCCCTCACCTACCCCTCCACCCCAAACCCTTATTGGCCATATAAGAGCCACCGAATCAATTCTGAAAGCAAGAATTTTTTTTTTTCTTTTTCTTATGGGCGGGGAAAATCTTTTAATGACTTCATCTTAGGCAGCTAGGAACCCAAGATGGATGTGTGGGATTTCCGCCCACTAAAACCCCCTCCGCTTTGGGTGAGCGAATTGAAAAAAAAAAAGCACGGAATGAATGTAGTCTTGCATAGCTGTTTCTCTGTAACATTGTGCAAAAATCCGCTCCAACTCGGTAAATTCGCACTGACCACCACAACTTCACACCACAATCATCAGTTCACCCTGATCAAGTAATACCTCGTAATTTATCTCAAAATCCGCCGGTAAAATAGCTCGGGCCTCTGGAGTAACACCCGTTGAAATTTTTGAAAAGAAACGCCACGATGGAATGAAAGACATCAGAATTC